TGAGACATTTACACTTGTTCACTTAGTATTTTGACTTATCCTATAGGGTAAGTCGACTTGTCTCATAGGATAACTCGAAATACTGGAAAAAAGTAGTTCAGTCACAAGAGTCGACTTATCTCATAGGATAAGTCGCTTCTTTTAACTGAAGTATTTTACTCACTCAACTAGTATTTCGACTTATTCTATGAGATAACTCGACTTGTCCTATGAGATAAGTCGCCTCGTAGGTTTGAGCAAGTTATTCTTAATATTTCGAGTTATCTCATGAGACAAGTCGACATATCTCATAGGATAACTTGAATTCGGCACTAAACAAATATCTCAATCAAAACACAGGAGTAAATCGGTAGAATAAGTTGAACATTTAAATGTGATCTTAAAAATCTCAAAAATGAATATATTATGATAAAAACAGAAGTAATAATACATAATTCTATTTTTCAAAAGTCCATATATTCTATTTATGGCTAACTTTTTGTGCTAAACCAGTCACCATTGAATGATTCCATGTGCCTCTACAATGGTGTCCATATTTTCCCTTAAACGGTTGTTTCCCTTAAACGGTGCCCACAGGCACCGTTTAAGGGAAATGCACGAGTTAAGGGAAAACATTGGCGTCATGATGAAGGCACGAATGGAGAGATAGGATTGGCTAAAAATTTTTCAAGTAGAAATCATTACAATTAATGATGATTCACACTAAAAACGTTACAGTTTTTCTGATAGCATGAAAATAATAAAATATTAGAGAAAATGATGTAAAGAAAAGCAGTAAGAAAATAATTTAAAGCTGCATACGATTGTGAAAAAAATGTTTTTTTTATTAATTTTTTACCAAACCTCTGGTTAATTTTATTGAAATATTCATTTTATGACAAAAACTTTGTCATAATGTTCTGAAATTGTTTAGAAATGTCGATGAAATATATATAGATGCTGATAACCGTAAGTTTTGAGGGTGAAGGTGAAGGTGAGGGTGGGAATGTATCAGTGCTGGTGAGGTCATTGAGGAAGAGAATATTTCATATCTATGCTCTTCTTTGAGACATGAATACGGGAATAATTCGGTGATCAAAAGTATGCCTTTTTCGATCATAAAAAATATTTTCACGCTCAGATATAGATACCTTGCCTGATTCAATGTGAATCATCCACTCACTATAATCAATTTCTATTCGAAAAATTTTAAGCCAATCCTATTTCTTCATTCGTGTCTTCATGATGGCGTCCATTCTTTTCCCATAACTTGTGCATTTCCCTAAAACGGTACCCACAGATCTGAATTTCTTATCACATTCTTTGCCGCCGTCAGACCATATATTATAATGAACTGTAGTCTGGTGATTCTAACTGGAATGCATTTTTATATAGACATAATTCTCGTTGCATAAAAATTCCAGAGAAAATCTTCTTGTTTTTATCGATTTACTAATCTGATGTTTATTTTGGATTTAATTCGATCTCTTTCGAAAAAAAAGTATGAAATCAGAGAAATCCGTGGCGCCGTCTATAAAAGTATTTTTCACTTTTCTAAGAAAAGATCGGGTTAAATCCAAAACAAACTTTAGATAAATAAATCGAAAAAAACAAGAATATTTTCTCTAGAATTTTTATGTAATGAGAATTGTGCACATATCAAAGTACATTTTTCTATAGAACCGTTAGGTCACGCATCAATAAGTTTAATAACCAATGTAATTTTTATTATAGGATATTTTGATGTTTACTTTCCAATGTTAACTAAAGGAGGCTTTTCATTGATTTTGAGTGTAGAAAAAGTAAGAAGACAAGGAAAAAAATTATTTTAATTATGAATTTAACTTATTTTTAGTTTGCTAATGCTACACAAACAATTTTACCTCTTCGGCGTCTTTGCTTAACTCGTACTGTTTATGTCTCAACAAGTGAAAGGACATCGAGGTCACTTAATGTAATGAAAGAAAAAGAAAAGTTGTTTTTTTCTTATTGCAATATGCTTTAGGTTCCTCTTTCTCGGTTTGAACCAAATGAATATATTAATTATGAAAAAAATGCATCTGTTTTGGATATTGTCAAAAAAAGGTAAATTCATTTCTATTCACAGCCAATTTTCCCTTGAAAAAAGACTCCTTAGAGAATCTCTTTAAAATCTCTTCGAAGCATCACCACAGAGATTCTCGAATTATATGCTAGAGATTTCTCAAGAATTCGTAATCAGAATAACAATCAGGGTAAATGATCATGTTCCGATGTCGTTCATCATCGTATTCGCACGCGACTTTCGTCAGTAACAGAAAAAGTGATTTCCTCCTTCTCTCTTTCTCCACAAATAGAAAATGTAAGTTACATATCTAAATTAATACATGTACTTGGATTTGATGCGAAATTCACAATACATAAGCTATACACCAGAACTGCCGACAGGCCACTTTTTTCTGATCTGGCCTGGTCTGCAGGCCAAACCAGGCTCATTGATATTTCAGACTTGGTGAATATGTTTAATTCTACAACTCTGCATTAATGCACCATTTTAGTTTCAGTAATTTACCTAATTTATTTGCATAAAGATAAGATAATAACAAGTTCTTGCACAAAGTCGCAAATTAAAATAGAGATATAATAGTCATAAAAACTTTTCATAGAAAAAAGGTTTCAATTAGCGCAACGTCTTTGATCATATCAGTTTTCGTTCGAATTATCGAGAAATGTGATCATGATAACTTCAACAGCATATACGATGACACATACAACAAAGAAGTAGAAGAAAGTATACAACAAAAATGTAGGAAATAAGTGATACTTACATAAACAGGCGAGTACATTTGCAATAGACGGTCAATTTTTGCAACAGCACACACTAAAATAAAATGTGTCGCACTTCTGTGTCGTGAACTTCAGCGTAAAAATGTGTCGTGATCGGGTTGTGTCGTGTACAAATTTGTTACATTCTGTCTGCTGACTATCCATTCACCATTTTGTTATGCACACACAGTTGTATATAAACAACATGACTGAGCATAAGAAACATACGTTTTTAAAATAATTTTTCTAGATTATTTCTCGGTTATTTATTAGTCGAGAACATGCCGATCTCGATCGATGATCGAGATAGGACTACTCTGAAGCGATCTGATGGAGGTTGGGCCAACTCAAGGCTGGACATATCCCTAGATTTGACCTGCTTGAGTTTTCAGAGTTGGAATAATTAAATGGAATCAAATTGAAAAACGTCATGATACGCTTTTACAGAAAAAAGATGAAAAATGCGTCGGATGAAAGATTCAAACCATGCTTTCAGAATGTGTCACATGTGTCCTATAAAATGTGTCGCAACGAGCATCTTGTGTCGTATTTTAATGCGTCATATATTTTGCCACAAATTACGACACATGTGCCACATCTTATCTTAGTGTGCACAACCGCAAAATTTACTATCCAATTGTTTCGAATCTAGAAAAAGTTCTACTGTCAGTGAATATAAGTACTACAATCCTGAATTGACGTTCGTTTCAAGGATTTGTTGCTAGCATCGAATGAATTTGTTACCGTACTCTCGAATAATAAGATGATACATCAGCGTTTGGTTTTCGAAACTTAAGAGCCAGGCCAACAACTTTGATCTGATCTGGCCTGTTAAGCAAGCAGTATATTATGAGGATGGATCATACTAGGCTGAAATCTCAAAATTTGGTCTGCCCTAGTGGCCTGGCAGACGCCGATCAGGCAGTAGACCAGGCCAGCAGTCCTGCTATATATTTTTTCGTAACTCTCCACAGACTATTTGGAAACTAGGCTTGTGACAACTCACAGTTCTATGAGCTGATTCTTTTTTGAGAACTGTACCAAGTGACCAGTATCTTTCGTATGAAGTATGTCTACTGATAATGATAATGTAGCGATTCTATTCAATAACTGTTTCAGTCGTCACAAAAAAAGAAGAACTGATTAGTATATCCAGTTCTCAAAACAGGACAAGTTCATAGATGTGGAAGCTGTCACACGTCTAGAACTGATTTGTTTGAACAGTTCAGCGCTTTTGAATAGAACTGGTCATCAGTTCCAGTTTTTTTTACAAATAACTCGATGAGTAACGTCTGTTCAGCCCTTGGATTGCAAACTGCCGCACGTCTATTGGAGACTTCCAAGCACCATTCTGCGGGACAAATTTTTCATGTCCTAAATCTTGTTTGTCCCGTTCCGAAAAATGTTCAGAACAATTTCGATTGTCCCGCAGCATGGGACAAACGAGATTTTTTGGGATTCAGAACTGTTCCGCGGGACTCTACTTCCAAGGGTTTTTTATTCTTTATTCGTACTCCTAAAATTAGAGAGTCATCAAAGAGTTCCTGTGAGTTTTTGCACCTTGGAGATTTGTTCAGTTACTCTTTTGAGATATACAAAAGACCTTGCATGTTTCAAAAGACTTACCAGTGATTCTGCAACTGCAAATCAATGAAGAGTATTAAACTTAAAAAGAAAACTTTTTTTCTTTTATTTAGGCTTAATCATCCATTAACACTTTCTGAAAAAATTCTTTATTCACATCTTGATAATCCACAAAATCAAGTAAAGAAAAAAAAAATCAAAGAAAAATTTCATGAATTAATTTTTCTATTGTTTTTAGAAAATTGAACGTGGTAAATCATATTTACGTTTACGTCCTGATCGTGTTGCTATGCAAGATGCTACTGCACAAATGGCTGTACTTCAATTTATATCATCTGGTTTACCAAGCGTTTTATGTCCAAGTACAATTCATTGTGATCATTTAATTGAAGCACAAGTTGGTGGAGATGAAGATTTAAAACGCGCAAAGGTAAATCAATTATTTCAAGTAGAAATAAACACATGAAAAAGTGAAAATCTATTCTAATAGTTTCGAGTTTATATGTGTGCATTGTCTTTCAAACAAATGAAAGAAGAATATAGTAAAATTAAAATGACTTGATCAAAGTTATCATCAAATCGAGCGAATAAATTATATTTAGTTATTGAA